CGCTCAACAACGTCCTAGCCAGCTCACTGTTGACGCAGTTTTGCTTACTCTTATTCAGTGGATTGTGCTTGCTCATATTGCTCTCAGTTGCGTTGAATTACAAGCGTTTTGAGATCTTCTGAAGCTGTTGAATCCGTCGATTTGCGGTTATCTCTATAGCACAGGTAAATCCGTATGAAATTTGATCCTGCGAGAATTTCAGCAACATCGACTGCGCGTTATTGATGAGCTACACAGCGCGCGTAGCAGAATTCATCTCTCTTTCGATCTGTGGAGCTCACCAAATTCGTTGCCCCTGTGTGGCGTTATAGCTCATTAATTGACAGCCGATTTGCAGAATAGAGCTCTCCTTATAGGTCTCAAAAGAGTACAAGGCGCTCATTCTGGTGAGAATATCGCTAAGGCAATCGTACAGGTTATTCAAGAGTATGATATAGCTGACAGAGTGGGTTATTTTCAAGCCGACAACGCAGGGAATAACGACACCTGTATCAAAGCGATTCTTAAGGAGATCTCACCTTCTTCGACTGCGAATCAACGGCGTTTACGTTGTTATGGGCATATTATCAACCTTGCTACCAAAGCCTTCTTGTTTGGCGATGATTCTGACGCGTTTGAGCTCGAAATCAATACTCTCGAGAAGCTCAAGCTCGAAATTCGCTATGAACGCGAATTGCTGGCCCTATAGCGAAAACGAGGACCTATTAGCAAGCTCTATAACCTAGTTATTTAGATTCGAAGGAGTCCGCAGCGCAGAAAGAGCTTTATGAGCTTATCAAGAGATAATACGACTTTAAAGCGTGAGTATTCAAATTCTACGCATTGAATAACTACTAATTTAACTATAGAACTAATAGTTCTCTCTGATAACGCAACTCGCTGAACTAATGGTTCTCTTTGATAACGCAACTCGCTAGAATTCGACGTATCTTATGCTCCATTGCGCTCTCAAGCTTCGTCCTTAAATAATAACGATTTGTGCGATAAATATCAATGATCTCAAGGAGGATACGCTCTCTGTAGAAGAGTGGGATAAGATAGAAGAGATCGAGAGCATCCTAACGCCATTCTACAAGGTTACAAAGCGACTCAAGGGCAACGCTGTTAAGGGCCACTACGGTTCTATTTGGGAGGCGCTGCCTGCGGTTAAGCTGTTGCTTCAGCATCTTGAGAAGCTTAAAGAGATATACAAGGATAACAGCTATCTTACTACAAGCGTTAACCTTGCGTGGGTTAAGCTTGATATACAAGGATAATAGCTATCTTGCTACAAGCGTTAACCTCGCGTGGGTTAAGCTTGAGGAGTATTATCGACTTATAGATATTACACCTATCTATACTGCTGCGGTATTCCTTCATCCGAAATTTCGATTCGAATACTTCAAGAAGAGATGGAATACAAAGACCTTACGACTATATCACAGACTTACTCTTGCTGCTATTCGCAAGCTCTACGATGAAATATCGCGATGACGCTACTAAGGCGACGTTGCAAGCAATGAACGCGAAGAAACAAGAAGAACGAGATATATTTGACGCGTTTCTGAACGAAAATACAACACCAAAGGATGAGTTTGATGTCTATATTGATAGCTCAACAACAGCGCTTGATGATGACGCAAATCTCTTCAAATGGTGGTCAAATTCAGCGTCGCCACAGCTTACGTCGATGGCATTTGATATCCTATCAATACCCGCAATGAGTGCCGAAACAGAGCGCGTTTTCAGTGGTACTAAGCTCACTATCTCACCAAATCGAAATAGGCTTGGTGAGGATATTATTGAGGCCACAGAGTGTCTGAATCGGTGGTATAAGGCAGGGCTATAGCGACGATGAGCTCATACGCAGTAACAGCATGCCGCCAACGTACGTATGAAACTCAACACCATAGCCTTCTATCTCAACTGCAATTCTAACCGAATTAGGAAGTCTACAGACCCTCATCCTTCCCTCATCCTTCGTTCCTGTCGCTAGTACTATCTGTACTATTGGTACGTACCAATGGTACACTGTTCCAACG